CGATTTTTTGTCCACGAAAAGCCCGAAAAAAACGATCTCTTCTTTCAATCTTTTCGATCTTTAAAAAAAACAAATTTTAAATTTGTTAAGTGTATTTACATTGAAAAAATGATTTACTCCAGCATCGCTCCCTAAAATGACGTCACTGTTTGCGTTTCTGATATTTACGAATACAGCAACATTTCAAGGTTTGTTCTAACTCCCTCCTGTGCTCATTGCACCGTCACGGCTAGCATTGGGCGATCTTGAGACAAGAATCGATCTAAGTGAATCGATTCATTTTTTTGAAAATAATCGATTCACAGATTTAATCAATCATTTTAAATCGATCTTATGAATCGATTGATTTTTCAAAATGTTTCAAATATAACGGATCATAGGAAAGTTGGTGCAAATTAACGCCAAGTTCAGTATAATACCTCGTTCATATTACAGCGTATATCACGTGAGCACTCATACATCTAGTTTTCACTGGAAATCCTATGTATGAGTGTTCATTGCAAGACAGCCGACACACTAAGATTTTGTTTTCGTGTTCGGTAAATTTTACCGAAATCAGAACAGCTGAACGTTCGGTAAAACTTTGACCTTCATTTTAAAGGCTATTGAATTAGAAAATAATTTCAAAACATGTTCAACCTTGTTTCAATGATGATCAATTCTTGACATTTTAGTGGAGATTTAGTTTCAAAGTAGCTGAAAAGCAAATGAATTGAATTGAGGTGGCTGTCAAATACGAACAATCGTCGCCTATCTCGCATAACTGGTTCCAAACGTAAACAAGCCATAAGAAACCTACAGGGTTTGTTTACGTTTGGAACCAATTTCATACAAGAATGATCAGTAGGCTGATTTGACAGCACGCCCCTCCCCAGGTTATTGCCTACTGAACTGTCACACTGGTTGTTTGGCAAAATCCATGTTCAAGGCAAGTGATGTGCAAAGGTAAAGGTGAAAAGAATCAATATTAAATTGCAAATGCAAATGCACTGAAAAGAATCGATCCAGTCGATTTTTGTCGTGTTTGGGATCGATTCAAAAAATCGATTGATCGAACCAAAAGAATTAATTCCAAGCTGAAAGCAGAAGTTATCGAGGACAATTCCTGGAACAGGGTTGAACATGTGTGGGTGGCTATTCAAGTTGGTGATCGTCAATTGCTTCTCTGTGCAGTGTACATCCCTCCAGATCGAACCCGTGACTTGGAGCTTATTGACACACATTGTCGATCCGTCTTGGCCGCTTCAGACCAGGCAGGCCCTTCCGACGAAGTTATTGTTCTTGGCGATTTTAACCTACCGGACATTGCATGGACTCCAACCCATAGTGGTTTCGTTTGTCCTGATCACGAGCGTTCATCTTTCCACGTAGGAACCATCCAGCTCCTGGACAGTTATAGTACCGCAATGCTGTCACAAATCAATGGCCTGTTGAATGAAAACAACCGCACTCTAGATCTCTGCTTTGTGAGTGCTTGTGATACAGCTCCTTTCCTCTCCACGGCACCGAACCTTTAGTCAAGGAAGTACATCATCACCCTGCTTTAATTATCGTGATCGAAAATAATATTGTCCATGATTTCACCAGCACTCCAAACGCTGTGTCATATAACTTCCGTAGAGCTGACCATCGCAGGATCGTCCATGTGCTGTCTAACCTAGATTGGGAGCATATTCTAGATCCTGTAGACGTCAACATTGCTGCACAAACCTTTTCTTATGTCTTAGCATATGTCATTGACAGGCACGTTTCCAAAAAAGATCATCCATATCGACCCTCGCGTCCCGTGGATGACGAAAGATCTTCGCTCGTTGAAAGAACTAAGAAGGCTGCTCTCAGAAGATTTACTAAACTCCGCACACTGCCGCTGAAATGCTACTATGTCAGACTCAACCACGAGTATAAGCGGTTAAGTCGTCTCTGTTTTCAACGCTATCAATGGAGGATTCAACGGCGGCTAAAATCACACCCGAAATCCTTTCCCTCTTCCATGAATGGTTAAACTGCTGACAATCAACAAATTTGCTGGTGTGTTTGAAGACGAGCAACTCTCCGCTAATATCATTACTTCCGCGGCCAGTAATGTTCCTTTGGTCAACCAAACGCTCAGCATGGTCGAAGCCACTACAGAAACGATTTATATAGCAGCATCTAAACTTAAGACTTCAGCTAAGGCTAAACCCGATGGTGTTCCGTCGATTATTCTTAAAAAGAACATCACTTGTCTTTTAGATCCACTGCGCCGCATATTCCAGCTCTCTCTCTTTCCAGCGGCATCTTTCCGTCTTGCTGAAAGACTGCGGATATGTTTCCTGTTCATAAAAAGGGAAGCAAACGCGACGTAAACAACTACCGGGGAATCACGTCTCTGAGTGCTGCATCAAAACTTTTTGAATTGGTTGTTATAGAGTCCTTAAATGCGCATTGCAAGCAATATCTAAGTACAGATCAACACGGATTCATAACTGGGTGTTCCACAACTACGAACCTGCTGTGCCTAACGTCTTACATCACAGACAGTTTGATTGCTCGGACCCAAACGGACGTTATCTACACAGATCTTACGGCAGCCTTCGATAAGCTGAACCACGAAATTGCGATCGCTAAGCTTGATAGACTAGGGATCGGTGGAAATCTTTTGAGATGGTTTCGTTCATACCTCACGAAGCGCCAATTGACAGTAACTTTGGGTACTTGTCGCTCAGCAAGCTTCTGCGCAAAGTCCGGTATACCTCAGGGTAGCCATCTGGGACCATTGATATTTCTCCTTTACTTCGACGACGTTCACCATGTTATCACAGAGCCACGATTATCGTTTGCAGACGATCTGAAAGTTTTTCGCATCCACTCACTCGCCGACTGCCGTTCTCTCCAAAATCAGATTGAGATCTTTGCTGACTGGTGTAGTCTAAACCGACTGGTGGTCAACCCAGCTAAGTGTACAGTTATTACTTTTTCACGCAAGAAACAACCGATTATTTTCAACTACAAACTACTAGGCACGACTATCGAACGGGTGCATTGCGTGAAAGACTTAGGCGTTTTTCTAGACTCAAAGCTGACAAACTCACACCATATTTCGTATGTCGTCGACAAAGCGTCCAAAACGGTTGGCTTTGTCTTCAAGATTACTAAGAACTTCACAGACATTTACTGCTTGAAATCGCTCTATTGCTCTCTCGTACGATCTACTTTGGAATACAGCTCTGCAGTCTGGAGCGCGAACTACAATAATGGGGCCGAGCGAATTGAATCTGTGCAACGACGTTTTCTTCGCTTCGCGCTCCGTAAGCTGCCTTGGAGATACCCACTTTGTCTTCCAAGCTACGAGAATCACTGCCAATTGATCAATGTCGAGCCCTTACGTATCCGAAGAGATGTTTTCAGAGCCCTAACCGTCGCCGATACTCTGCAAGGAAGAATCGACTACGAAACAATTCTACAACAAGTGAACATTAATGTTCAACCTCGATCACTACGCAACAGTCTTATGCTGAGACTTCCACTTCTTCGAACTAATTATAGCTTAGGGAGCGCTATTTACGGCTTGCAGCGAGTGTCCAACCGAGTAGCGTCGATGTTCGATTTCCACTTGACACGGATTATGCTTCGCCAAAGATTCTCTGCCTTTTTTACTGACCGAAGACTTATAAATTTTTAGTAACTTGACAATGCTTTCCTAGTTATTTTCGTTTGTAACTGTAGTAACTGTAGTATATGTATTCTGTATAATCTGTACTTTTTTTTACAACACATCATTGGGACTATTTCTAGTCTGTTGATGCAAACATAACAAATAAACAAATAAAAGAATCGATCTTTTGTGTTTCGATCCAAGATCGCCCATTTCTAGTCACGACAACATTTAATTGAATATTATAAAGGGAATGATTTCTTGGGGTACCAACGTAAACAAGCGTATTAAAATAAAAATCAAAAGATCGATTCTTTGGTACCGATTTAATCAGTGGATCGATTCTAGAGCCAAATATAAGATCGATCAATCAAGATCGATCTTTCTCTGAAGTTCGCCCAATCCTATGCTAAGCCCTCGGTTTGACGGATGCGGCTTGTTTTTCACTCTGCTTAGGCTTCTTCTACTTATTAATCCGTCTTTAGGCCCATTCTTGCCTTGGCACGCCGGATGTTACTCTTCGAGGATCCCACTTTTTTAGCCACGTCTCGAACCGAAGCACTTTTCTTGCGAGTGAAAGCTTGCACGATTTTCCGGTCCAGATTTCAGTCAACAGGGTTCGGTTTACGTCCAGATTTTTGCTTGTCCTGGAAAGTTGCTTCATCGCCATACTTCCGAATCGCATTTCGAACGACTCCGATGCTTACATCTTCCAATTTCGCTAATTGACTCAGAGAAATGTTGGGGATAGTACAACATTTGTGCACGATCTGTTTGCGCTTTTCCGGAGAAATACTTCGTGTTGTCCGGCACTTGCGATATACGAAACTGTTGGTCGAAATATAAACAATGATTCAGCATGATAATCAGCTGTTTACACGTCATCTGAAACAAGCAGGGGTGTAACAAAGTCGTGCTTAGACATTCTGGGACACCCTATAATAGTCAGTGATCAGTTCTCAAATGACATTGCAAATGCTTTTGGAAATTTGTCAATCAAATTTTTGTGAGAATCCAGTTTTCTTCCAGTAGTTTTGGGTACATTTTGCCAGTTATGTTTACCCTTGACCCACGTTTCATTTAGAAATGACCTGACTTCTCTTCCCCTGTAAGCGGACTTTTTCACCGGAATTTAGATCTCACCATAGGTGGATAAATTCAATTCAATTTGGGCGATTCACTGAAGTTTCTCAAAGTGGGTCGCAATCAACGAAAGTTTGAGAACCGCTGACATAAAAAAAATCATCGAATGAGCTTTCAACAACATCGACAACTAACGAATCTCGGAGATGGACTAGCCCGTGGCTAAAAATCTCCTTAATAAAGATAAAAAAAAACTAACGAATTCCTTCTTTCCCTATTCCAGATCAAATCACCAACGGATCGCATCACACTAAACGCATTGGACCTAGTGATTCCAAAAGTGACCGTCACCTACGGATCCGACAGTACGGTACTAACAGCCACGGACACACAGTTCTGCGCTGATCAGGAAACGGCATGTTTCGTTTTCCCTTCGGAGATCCCCGTCGGTTCGGCACAGCTGGACCTCGAATTCACCGGCGAGCTAAACGACAAAATGAAAGGCTTCTACCGGAGCAAGTACTTTACCCCTTCGGGTGAGGAACGTTTCGCTGGCGTAACACAGTTCGAGGCAACAGACGCGAGACGATGCTTCCCTTGCTGGGATGAACCTGCAATAAAGGCAACTTTTGACATCACTTTGACGGTGCCGAAGGACCGCGTGGCTCTGTCCAATATGCACGTAGTGAGCGAGAGCGAGTCCGATGGCTTGCGAACGCTCAAATACGGTAGATCGCCGATCATGTCCACCTATTTGGTAGCGGTGGTAGTCGGTGAGTTCGATTACGTAGAAGGAAAATCGAAAGATGGTGTACTGGTTCGAGTGTTTACTCCTGTCGGAAAGAACGAACAGGGAAAGTTTGCACTTGACGTGGCAATCGAAGTGCTTCATTATTATAATTCGTATTTCTCGATTGCCTATCCCCTGCCAAAGATGGACTTGGTTGCAATTTCGGATTTTTCCGCTGGTGCTATGGAAAACTGGGGCTTGATTACATATCGCGAGACGTTCGTGTTGGTCGATACGGAGAATACATCACTTATCAGAAAGCAATCGATTGCGTTAACTGTTGCTCACGAAATTGCTCATCAGTGGTTCGGAAATCTGGTAACTATGGAATGGTGGACTCATCTATGGCTCAATGAAGGTTACGCCTCGTTTGCGGAGTTCCTATGCGTTAACAAACTCTTCCCAAACTATTCCATCTGGAATCAGTTCATCACGGATATGTACACCCGTGCCTTAGAGCTGGACTGCCTTAAAAATTCACACCCAATCGAGGTGCCCGTGGGGCATCCGGCTGAAATCGACGAAATCTTTGACGAAATCAGCTACAACAAGGGAGCCAGTGTGATTCGCATGCTTTATCACTACCTGGGGGACGATGATTTCCGCAAGGGGATGAATCTATACCTTACGCGCCACAAATACAAGAACACGTTCACTGAAGATCTGTGGACAGCTTTCGAAGAAACAAGCAAGAAGCCAGTGGGAAGTATTATGTCCACCTGGATCAAGCAGATGGGTTTCCCGGTGGTGAAGATTCTCTCCTCCGAGCAGAAGGAAAATTCACGAGTGCTTAAATTGCAACAGGAGAAATTCTGTGCTGACGGATGCCAAGCGGAGAAGAAATCCCACTGGATGATCCCAATAATAATTTCCACACCAAGCTCGTCGCATGCGCACACGTTCATCATGGACAAGGAAACTGTAGAAGTCGTTGTGGAAAACGTGGATCCCAATCACTGGGTTAAGCTGAATCCGGCATCGATCGGCTACTATCGAACTCAGTACAAAGCGGATATGTTGGACAAATTCCTCCCGGAGATCAGCAGCAATAGCATGCAGCCGTTGGATCGACTGGGGTTGTTGGATGATCTGTTTGCACTGGTGCAAGCCGGCAGAAGCTCAACCGTTGATGTGAGTATGCACACTTTTTTTTCCATTGCAATGTTGGTTTTGACAGAAGTCTTATTTTAACAGCACTCAGCTACTAAACCCAAACCTTTAATCCACCATTCCACAGGCGCTGAAAGTTATGGATGCATGCTACAACGAGCCCGACTACACCGTATGGTCATCTATCTCCAATTTCCTGTCCAAGTTGCAGCTTCTGCTAGCCAACACACCAGTAGAAGAACAGTTCAACCAATATGGAACTCGACTGTACCGGACGGTAGCCGACAAGCTAGGCTGGGCGGTGAAACCGGATGAAAACCATCTGGACACTCTGCTCCGACCGCTCGTCCTCAGTCGACTAGTATCTTTCCGTTGTCCGCAAACCGTTGCGGAAGCTAAAGCGAAGTAAATCTCCCATTGAATAATAAACTTCACTTGCTAAGCATTATTTTTCACCATTCTAGGTTCGCCGATCATGCATCAGGAAAATGCGTCCTACCAGCGGATCTGCGCAGCACCTGCTACAAGGCGGTCCTTCAAAACGGTAATTTGGCCACCTTCAACGAAATGCTTCGCCTGTATCGGGCAACGGACTTGCATGAAGAAAAGGACCGCATCTCCCGTGCGCTCGGTTCCATCAGTAACGTAGACATTCTACGTAAAGTAATCGCGTTTGCCATGTCCGACGAGGTGCGCGCCCAGGATTCCGTGTTTGTGATCGTATCCGTTGCAATCAATCCCAAGGGTCGTGACATGACGTGGAACTATTTCAAGGAAAACTGGAAAATTCTGCTGGATCGATACGAAGGCGGATTCCTACTGTCCCGGCTGATCAAATATCTGACGGAAAATTTCTCCACTGAAGAACGAGCCCTCGAGGTAGAACAGTTCTTCAAGGAGCACGAGTTCCCCGGTACCGAGCGGACCGTTTCGCAATCGATCGAGACCATTCGATTGAACGTAGCATGGGTGAAGCGTGATCTGGATGGAATTACCGCTTATCTCAAACAGTAGATGCATTTAAACGATCACCGTAAAACACTGAACCGATCAGTAGACTTTTGACGTTGCACGAAAACATTCAAAATTAAGTTGCATGCTTTTTACCTTCCGCTTATGTTCAGCATGCATTCGTTCTAGTTTCTTTCCCGCGATGAATGCCAAAGTTTGGCGAAATAGCAGTGCCAGTAGTGTAATCCTCAACGTATTGGAGCATGCCTAGCGTAGAATATGATGCCTACTTGAAAACAAAATGTTATACTTTTTCTGTAATTTAAGTTGTTTTTATGCTAATATCTATTAGGAATGGTAGCAATGTATGTTTGTTTAGCTGAACGAATAGTATACGATGGGTACTGTTTGCTCTTTTTCAGAGGATCAAAATTTTCGCCACAATTTATAGATAGTGTAGGCACGGTTATTGAACGATTGCTAATTGAATAATAAAAAATTAAAAGGTTAAGAGAATGCTGTGTTTATTTTTTTTTAACTATCGACAGCCCTAATCACCCCCTATTTTATAAAGCTTGAGTCTTTTAAAATCTGGACGCAAAAACGGATGTCTCGGAACCATATTAATGAAATAAGAATGTGCAGTTTTCAAAATGAACGTCATCTCTGTCGCACCTTTCCACTCTTCTTCAACTTCTGTTTGACAATTGCCCAATATTTCTCAACTGGGAGGAATTGAGGGTAGTTGGGGGATTGATGTCCTTTTCGAAGAAATCTTCCCTGTTGTATCGATACCACTGTAGAACTTCTCCGCTGTAGTGGCAGCTTGTTAAATCAGGCCAAAACTTTATACTGTATACAGGTTCATTGAAGAATCAGAGGGGGTCGCCATCTGTGAGTCAATCGTCACTTTGATTCTTCACTTGGTAATGGTAATGACGTTTTAATACCTTTTAGCACAAACGAAGTGACAGACGACTAACTGACGAAGAAATCCATTTAAATAATGTGGTTCACTGTAATAGAATTTTCTTGGAAGCTTGTGCCATCATCCACCAGATGGGTTAGTTTTTTTGTGTTGATTTGAACAAAGTTGATTTTGTGTACAATGATTCTTTGACAGTGTGCAAAGAGTGCGTATCATTTTGTCATTTTTTTATGCATTTCAGTTTTGAGTAGAGTGAAAGAGATAGAACCAAAACATTCTCACAGCGCTGCCATTTATACAGATTTATCTGTATTATACAGATTTTTTAATCTTAATACAGACCCGATACAGAATACAGATTTATCACAGATTTTTAAATTACAATACAGATTTATACAGATTTTTATAAAATGCTTGAGAAAAAAAAAATCTAAATTTATAAAAACAAAATAACTTGCTCGATTTTATCAGCGTACCCCCTTCTCTCCAAAATTAATTGTTGTGCTAAAAACCATATTTTTTGCAGTGGGATCTGCTCGAGGCGTTGCTGTTTCTTTTATGCTTCTCTCACTCCCTCCAACGGAAAACGCAGTCACGCCCGTCACGGTAGTTTCGCATTGAAAATATATTTCGTAAGAAATTGCGGATTTTCTGATATTCTCCATACTGCAAAAATGATTTTACCAGCACTGGCGGGGCGACATCTCTCGACTTTTCGGTGTAAACTACCACACAAATGATGTAATTAATTGTATTCATCTATATTAAAAATATCAAATAGTAATGAACTCGTGCACTTTTTTGCATTTAAAACTGCTTATCAGCAAGATAATGAATAGAAACTAAAATCTCCATACATTTTCAAACGGCTTCATATCACTCTTATAAATAAGTACGGACGATATCACAGATGGCGCAATTATATCCCGTATGGTTAGTACGATAGCCCGAATAGGTGGTTAAGCACTTTTTATGGTTATTTTGTATGCACTGTATTTGTAAAACAACAAAACATGATTAATTAAGAAAAAAAATCGTCAATACAGAAAATACAGATATTTTAATAGAGTGGATGCAGATTTTTTATAAAACCACCTGGCAGCTCTGCATTCTCATACATTTGGTGAAAATGCTAATACAATCCAGTAGTAGTGTTGCCATGTGGTACAATCTAGAAACACTGGAATAAGAGACCAGCGGTGAAAAAAAACATGAATTTGGCAACAAGATAAACATCAAAGCAATCCTGGCATCACTTGCATTTGTAACTGCTTGCGAGTGACTTCGCCAATGAACCGACGAGCGAGTTCATGAGTGATTGTTAAACGATTTTAATACTCCTCCCTAATCGAAGGAAACCATTTGTAAACATTGCAGATTGGGACCGCTTTTGACAGTTCGTTTGGAATCATAACAGTGTCTCCGCTGGTCTCTTATTCCAGTGTTTCTAGTACAATCCAGTAGTAGTGGTGTTGCCATGTGGTACACTGAAAAATTGCAATAGCAGGTTAGTCACCAAAGTTTTCGAGCCGCTCCGTCTGTCACTTCGTTTGTGCTTTTAGTACATCATCATTTTTGTAATTGCGGATCTTAAAACTAGGTGCCGCATGCGCAGTTCTGGCTTTGCTTTGCTCTGCCAATTGTGAGCCTTAATGTACGGAAGAATACGTTTATTCAGGAACTCCTGCTTGTACATTCTGGAATCCATAGTCTTGTTTGACACGAAAACCTGGGGTTTTTGTCCGCAGCTGCAAATTTCTTGCCAGATTATAGAACTTTTGTCCGGGAAGCTGCCCATAATCCATCTTCACGTACGTTTCGCCGTCCATGAGGATGCATCCTTCGTACTTTGTAAGAACCTCATTGTACACTCGCGCTTATGTTAAATTCTCATTTGGTGACGGTCGAAGCGCGCCGCTCATGGGCGCGATGCCACCGTAGAGGTAACTCTAAGACCAGAAGGTCCCGAAATAACGTGCTCAACTTTTTGGCTCAGTTCCGGTACTCTCTTCGGTCCCAAGCTAATCGATTCACCCCTCGAAACATAGGAGAATCCACTAACCCCTCATTTTATCTGTCAAACTTTCATAGCAAATCAAAACAAACATTGTCTAGTATTAGAATTTCGACTAGAATGGGGTACGTTGATCGTTTGCTTGGGACCAATAGGCTAGCGAGGGGGACGACTCTATCTACGATGCAAAAAAGATTGTGTTTTGCTGTGGCTAGCTGTGCGCACGCTGAGTAGATAGAAAGAAGATTTATGGCTATTCTGAAGATTTCCTGCAAAAAGATGATGAGCGATAAAAGTAGATGCGACAAATGAAAGAAGATTTTTCGAAGATTGAGAAGTGTGAGATTTGTTGAGCATCTAAACTTGAGATTTGGATGTGTCGCCCCCCTAGTAGGCTAGTCAAGTAGTGAGCCAATTTGAAATCGTTAGTTTCGTATTGATTGTTGTTATAACTCTGTAGTGTGAACGTACTATAATCGGCTGTTGGAGATTTTACTGAGCTAGATTAAGTGTGTATATTTCAAGCGTTGTAGTAGTGAATAGTGCCAGTGAAAAGTAACCGGAAAATCCAGTGAAAATAATGCAGGTACGCTCTCAAATACAGGTGCATGAATAATACATCTCTTAAATATTCCGTCAGAAAAGGAATATTATACACATTTTATTTATTTTTATGATCGTTTTTCAGACACAACAACCAGGGATTCTGTGCTTTTCTGTCGGAATCGGATTTCAGCATGTTCCTGGACTGGCATCGGCATGAATGCAGCCACCTGCAACAATGACACTCCAGCGAGCAATGTTATTATTACCGACAAACCGATATGACACCTCGTTCTTCTTCTTCCTCACATTTCAAGCTTATTGTTCTAGATGCACTTCCACCAACAATCAATACGAAACTTACGATTTTAAATTGGCTCACTACTTGACTAGCCTATTGGTCCCAAGCAAACGATTAACGTATCCCATTCTAATCGAAATTCTAGTACTACCATAGAGGTAACTCTAAGACCACTGGGTCCCGAAGAAAATCATTATTATTTTTGGCTCACTCAGTACCAGAACAACGGTCCCAAGCAGTCACAAGCTATTTCACTCACCCCTGCATGTTCTGCATGAATCCACACACCCCTGATGTTATCTGTCAAACTTTCATAGCGAATCAAAACAAACATAGTGTAGTAATAGAATTTCAACTAGAATAGGGTACGTTAATCGTTTGCTTGGGACCAATAGGCTACTAAAGTGGTGAGCCAATTTAAAATCGTTAGTTTCGTATTGATTGTTGGTACTACGCAATGTTTGTTTTGATTCGCTATGAAAGTTTGACAGATAAAATGAGGGGTTATTGGTTTTTCCTATGTTTCGAGGGGTGAATCGATTAGCTTGGGACCGAAGAGAGTACCAGAGCTGAGCCAAAAAGTTGAACACGTTATTTCGGGACCTTCTAGTCCTAGAGTTACCTCTATGCTTCCACTGTTATTAATTGAGAGCTTTCTATGCCTGTACCATTTTTGCATTGGTATAATTGTGTGGCAAGTCCAATCATACTTCTATGCCCAGGGAAGCGAGAAATTTTCCAACCCGAAAAATTCCTAGACCAGACCGGGAATTGAACCCAGCCACCGCATGGTCTCCCTAATAAAAAATGTATGGTTAATTTGCTTAACGACGTGTTCTGGGTATCATCCAAACCATTTGTGGAATAGTTCAATGATTTGGGTTATCGTTCGTTTATGGTTATTTTTTATTAGGGCTTGCTTTGTAGCTGCGCTTTTATCGACTGAGCTAAGGGAGGCCCCGACTGAGCTAAGGGAGACACCTCGTATGACACTTAATTCTTACTTATGCCCGAAAACCGTAAACGGCCGATTTAAATGTGCAGTGATCCGAACTGTCAAAACCATAGGATTTAATAATAATTTGTCCAGAATAGATTAGACACGAACCAATTTATATTTTTTGCATGCGGGTTCATGGCTTAGCTAAATATTTCCCGCGAACATGGAGCCAGATGTCAGTAGTGTGCTTTGGTCAGAAATTTTATTGTTTTTGCTATTGTCATTCTTGTCGGTTTGTCGGTGATTTAGCCCTAGGTTTAGCCATCCAGGAAAACAGGTTTATGGTATAGTCGCTATATTCATAGTCTGGCGGATAGAATCTCGGGAACCAATTGAGCTGTCAAATAGCGGAACCAATCGAGCGAATCACGACCAACAACAGAAAAGAGCACACCAGCTATTGCGATGAAAACTTCGGAAACCCTCTTCTCGTGACTCAAGGCTTGTCTACGCAAACTAACACCATCTATGGGTTGGGGAAAGTTTCCCCTATCTGATGATGCTGGTAATTTGCGTTCGATTGACGAGGAAAGAATAATCACCGTTTGGTTGTAAAAGTTGTTAGTACCTTTTCAATTGTTGGTGTGCAATAGGGAAAATGTCGGCTTCGGCATAACAGACTATTTTCGGCAACTCAAATTGAATCGTTAATTTCATTTTCTCACGAAAACACTTCCCTGAATGCATTCAAACGATTCTTTAGGCTTTCAGCTTCAATTTGATTATATTTTTAGCACTGAAAAAAAGCAATCTAGCAGGGTTTTCTTGAAATGGAACACACGCACTACAAAATGCTGCTGATTTCAAGTTGCCGATAAAAGCACAGCTGTTTAACACGCAGCTCAAATAGAAAGGTTGCCGAATAAAGAGATGTTGCCCACAATAGTCGTTCTCACTAGAGAAGTTTGGAGCTTTATAAAAGCGTTTCAAAACAGTTTTTGAAAATTATTTCGACTGAAATTGTTAGAGCAGCTGCGTTCCTGAGAGAAAAAGGCTATAGAAAGATGGTCGCTGCTTAGGTAGCCGAGAATACGTAAATTCCCCTATATTGAATTGGTTCCGCTTTTTGATAGATCGAAATTCTATCCGCCAGACTATTAATATAGCGACTATAGTTTATGGTACCAGGATAGAGGTAACTCTAAGACCAGAAGGTCCCGAAGAAACGAGCTCAACTTTTTGGCTCAGTTCTGGGACTCTCTTCGGTCCCAAGCTAATCGATTCACCCCTCGAAACATAGGAAAAACCAATAACCCCTCATTTTATCTGTCAAACTTTCATAGCGAATCAAAACAAACATTGCGTAGTACTAGAATTTCGACTAGAATGGGATACGTTAATCGTTTGCTTGGGACCAATAGGCTAGTCAAGTAGTGAGCCTATTTAAAATCGTTAGTTTCGTATTGATTGTTGGTACCAGTGCGCAAAAGTCAGGTTCATTGAGTCATTTTGATATGAATATTAACTGCCATCTGCCTCATCATTCACTGCCTCGTGAGAGTTTGAATTATTGAGAGGTAAACGAGTCACTGACAGCCGAGCACCCAGTCAGTAGCTCAGTCAACACGTTTATTTTGCCGTGATGGTACCCAATATTTGTTTTGAATGACTGAGCGTACATTTCCTATGGAAAAATGACTCAATTAATCATGTTTTGTTGTTTTTGACATCATCCACATCCAGAGGGCCAGTCACTTCGAATGTATGGGAATGGTAGGAAACCATTTGGAAATGCATGAGAATTTTCAGTTTTTATTCATTATCCTCTTTATGGGCAGTTTTAGATGCACAAAATATGCACGAGTACATTACTATGGTGATAAGGTAAACACTCGTTTATTTGTTGCCTTCTGTGAAAGCATGTTTAGTCACAAATCGTGGATTTTCTGATATTCTCCATACTGAAAAAATGATTTTCCTACCACTGAAGGGGCGACATCTCTCGGATCTTCAGTATAGCTACTACTCAAATCATATAATTAATTACATGCTGTGTGAGCGAAGGCAAGCGTTGTGCGTCGCCTGCTCGTGAGTGACTGAATGTTTTTGTTGGCTCTTTCATTGCCTCGTCCTTTACCGTTTGGTAAAAACGGTCTGTACAGAGCAATGGATTGAATAGTGCAGTGCTTTCACACTCAGCCTAGAGTCGGTGTATTATGAGTCACGCCAAGAGAAAAACAGTTGAACTAGCATCACGGTTTTCGAAAGATTCCCTTTCTTTTAACTTGGCAACAGAGGACTTCTATATCAACTTCAAATGACTTCTAGCGAGCAAAAATTATAGCGGCTGTAGTAAATCATTATATCAGTGATTTTGTCAAATTATCTTAAGGTTCTACAAAGGGTCATTATTTTGTTTACTTCTTTTTTTTTTGAAATATTCTTCGATCATCATTTTCTAAATATATTGATAAAATTCATTGGAAGTGCATGTCCCCACGCCAAAACTGCCCATTTTTCATAAATATCAACTGGTATGGTGAGGAAAACTTAACCATCTCTTTTCTTCCTTCATTTCAATACATCAGCAAATGTGATGTCCCTCTATCTAGTGGATAAGAATGTAGCAGACAAAACATAAGCACTGCCAGACTGCGCTGTATGCAAGTTTGTTTACACTTCTGAGCGGGAAAGTGTATAACCATTATAACAGGCTACGTGCACTGCTGCCATCAACCCTGTTAGTGTTGAATTCAATCTTCTGTGACTTTTTTAATTGGACCGGTAAAATGTATAAAATGGTCATTTATGTTTTATTTAATCAGTTTTTGATATTTATCCACCATTAAATACATCCACTCATCTATGTTAATAAGGCAGACTTCGCAATTAATTGTTTTAATAAACTTAAATTCATTGCTAGAGGCAATACATCTGGCACCGCTGTTTCAATGATACTTTCACGATTAGTAAAGTAGAAATGGTTTTCTTTGTGATGAATTTTGTTCACCAAGAGTTTTGTGAAGCAGTTGTTTTGAGTTTCGTGTATTCGATTGCGTTTAATTGTGCTATACTTCGAAGAACACAAGTAAGTAAATACAGTGAATGTGTTTTACCCAGGAAATTTTCGATCTATGATCACGAAACACATGTTTTAAATTTTCGCATTCATAATATATGAATGGATGTGTAAACTAATGATGATGATTTTATGATATTTAAAAAAGAAGAAGAACACAAAATTACTTACCCTTTGTAGAACCTTAACAAAAAATAGTAGATATTCTCATTACTGATCATTACAAAACGTATTCCATGACAATGGAATGCTCACGACGTGTTTATTATCATTTCTTCGATTATATTTTATATTTTATTGCAATAACTTTCATGGACCTTTCATAGCATCGTAATCTTTGTTTACTTTGCACGATAGGTAGCTGGTTTGACAGTTCGATAGATAGACTAGGCTTCACTCTTGGCGTGACTCATTATACACCAACTCTAACTCAGCCTAGGCAGTCAATAATTTTACGCTCTGTATGGTACTTCTTTATTAGGGTGTGCTTCTTATGGTTATTGTTTATGCGGGAAGTATACCCGTAAAAAATAACGATAGAGGTACAATGAAATGTATTGTAACCATACAATATAATTTATTGTATTTAAAATAAATTGTTTTGTCCACAATGTTGAAATAACCATAGAATCTATGGTAAATAGAGAAATCTACAATACAACAAGGGGGTTTTCATGCATCTTAACCGTACAAAAAATCACTTTTTCCCCAACAAACTTCTGGCATTTGCCATTGCATTCATTTTATGGTTTTTTATTGTTGAAATTTCATACTATATGGGACGTATTGTAGATCTATTGTAATAACTCTATTTTAAATTTACTTGTGTGATGTACTTACAATAAGAACGATTGTTCGCAATAGATTTAATTGTGATTTTATATTATTTTATGGTAATTGTTATTTTTTCCGGTTATACTTTCTTTCTCGATTTTGAGTAGTTTCGTTTCTCCGTGTGATAATACTTATTATTTGCCGGAAGGGGTATAAGTACACCCCTGCAAATAAAAACACAACAGCAACAGCTGATCGTCTGTCAAATTTATTCAATCCAACAACAGTGCATTCGCGCTAGTGGTGTATTTTTCGATAAAATTGTTTAAATTTATGTGTATTTCCTGTAAAATTGTGTAAAATAGCGCCCCAAACTGTAATTAGTTGTCTTAGTTCATAGTGAAGCATTCGGGAAGTTATGTGCTGCAAGTGTTTCGGTTGTTTGCAATAGCCAAACATTGGGGCCGCTAACATTCTACGTCAACAAGCGCAGTTTCCAAGTGATTACACGTACATATAATATGGTGATAATAAGTTCCTGAAATAGCCACTCGCCTTTATCAGTAGTGTTCGAAAAGAGATTTCGACCATTTTACTTCAAGATGCAGATTCATGCAGTTAGTTCCACGCCGACGGTCAACGGTGTGAAACAGTGCCGACCGGATACCGATATGAAGAAGTTGTGCAGAATCATCACCCACACACGGAGTTTCAAGGGTAAGTGTTGGTATTTGAGGGAGGTGTGATAATTTTGCGATTATTTCGTTTTGGTTGCAGATGAGGATTTGTTGCTGAGTCCGAAGGATCATCCGGAGCTAAAGTTGAAGGATATCGTAGAGATTTACCATCCGGAGGACGATGGCGTTCGTTTGTTGCTGCAGGTCACTTGCCTCACGGAAGATCTGATGAGCAGAGAGACGATCAGTGTTGAAGCGAATGTGGCGGTTGCTTTCAATCTGAAACCATATAAAGATGTGTACATGCGGAAGATGGATCCCACTGAGGTTGCTTTGGACTCGGTGGAGATTACATTCAAGGATCAGTATATGGGTCGTTCGGAGATGTGGAGATTGAAGACTTATCTGACGAATACTTGTGTATATTTGAACAAGAAAATTGAATACTGCGAGAACTGCATCCGATGTCAGGTGTATGAAATGTGGTCCCAGGGCGATCGGGTGACATGTGGAGTGATTACGGAGGACACGAAGGTGGTTTTCAGAAGTAACACTTCAATGGTTTATCTGTTTATACAGATGTCGTCGGAGATGTGGGATTTTGATATACACGGAGATTTGTATTTTGAAAAAGCGGTGAATGGATTCCTGGCGGATTTGTATACTAAGTGGAAAAAGCTTGGTAGTAATCATGAGGTAACGATTGTAATGTTTTCAAGGACATTCTATGCGGCTAAGGGTCTGGATGAATTTCCGCCGCATATGAGAGATTGTCTTCAGATGGATTATAAAGGTCGGTTCTACGAGGATTTCTATCGCGTAGCGATTCAAAATGAGCGATGTGATGACTGGAGCTCTACACTGGTTCAATTGAGACGACTGTTCACTGGCTATCGAAATGTTGTGTTGAAGTACCACGAGCGACCAGATATGGAAATGAAAATTCCTCTGGCAGCAAATTCTACTGCAGCACAAGGAAACTTCCTTGAAGTGCTGAACATTTCGCTGAACGTCTTCGAGAAGCATTACCTGGATAGAAGTTTCGATCGGACGGGGCAGCTTTCGGTTGTCATTACACCTGGAGTAGGAGTTTTTGAAGTAGATCGGGAGCTCACAAACATCACAAAGCAACGAATCATTGACAATGGTGTTGGAAGCGATTTGGTGTGTGTCGGAGAACAACCTCTCCATGCAGTGCCGTTGTTGAAATTCCATAACAAAGATTCACTCACATCGATCGATGATTATTCGATGCCCCATTGGATTAACCTCAGTTTCTATTCCACCAACAAAACGGGTGGTTACTCGTCTTTCATACCTCGAATCAAACCACCACCAATTGCTTCCGAATCGACACTTAGTGAACATCCGGACGCATTTCAACTGCAACTTCCTAAGAAGGAAAGCAAAAATGAATACATTCACAACTGTCTGTTCGACTATGATGCCTACGACGATCAAATATTTCAAATGCCTTCAGTGCATGGAACGTGCTCGCTGCAGCGAGTTGCCAGAACGAAGAAAACCTCCGTTCCTAGCCTGGACAATTTCGGTACATATGGCAACAATCGCGAGTGGGATAACATTTCGTTTCCTGCAGAACTGCGTAGGAAAATGTCCGACCCGGATATCCATCACAATACGGCCAACATGTTGAATTTGAGTCTGACATCGCACAATAGTTCACCGAGTACGACGGAGAAGATAAACGAAAAGAATGGCAATCGAGGTTTTGGTTCGACCAGTGGACCGATCGTTCGGACAGGAAGAGCGTTAATCAACCCATTTGATCCGTCCCACGTGACAATCAAATTGACTTCTAACAGGAGACGTTGGACACACATCTTTCCAAAGGTTTGTAACATCATTGGTGTTTGTAGGGACACAAGCAATAAAACGTTGTTGCGTTTTCTTTGTAGGGCCCTCAAGGGGTACTCATCCAACAGCATCACTATCAAGCAGTGCCAGCCACTACCAAGAACACGAATTACACCGCCTTCGACTTGGACACGAGTAGTGAGTACGCACATACTTCCACTTGCACTTGGGGTCGAGGAAGGCATGGGAGCAATGCGTCATTCGATAGCCGTCTGAATGATGAAGACTTGAAATGGATTTCGGATAATAAAGGTTTGTGCGAAGCGAACTTATTTGCTAACGGAAATTTACAATAGTTGTTCATTTAGGAAACCGACGGAAGTCAGGGCTGCATTCAGCTGCCGGGCCAACGGTAACTGTGACTCCATCGAAAAGCCTAACATTGCTGTGGGGTGTTACTGGCGAACAGGAATGGACTCCTTCCCTTACCACAGGTAACATATTTTCGAAGCTAATTGTCAACATACACAACCGCTGCTTAATCAGATTGCCATTTGCAATGATTTTCCCCCTATTTTTTCCATTTAATCAATACGCTACATTCTCATCGATTAATATTGGCTATTTAAATTTTAATAATCGAATTAATCTATATTTTTACGTTTCATGTGCTTTCATCGTTCCATCCATCGATCTGATTGATTTGAATGAAATATTGATGTTTTATTTCAAATTCCCATCGCCACTTTCTACTATAAATAACTAAATCAAAAACCGTTTGCAAACGTAAAACAATGTGAACTGTGAATCGTTTGTACGATTGCAAATTCGATGGACTGCCAACAAATCCAAAACTCCAATGATGATTGTGTGCCATGAAAATTTGTGTGAATCGCACATAATTTCCCAAAACGGTCCGTTGTTTCAATACTCGGACAATACAACACCACCTCCATCAACGACAACGATCAACACAACGGTATCCTTCTCCGTGTCATCAACGCATCGATGTTTAACCCTACTACTACTACCGCCACTACCACTACTGCTACTACTACTACAAACACGATCGAACACTATTCGCTGCCGCTGTCGCTACTACCCTATTCTACACACAAACACACACAAACTTGTTTGAAATATCCTTCACTGGTCGTCTACTACATGTGTGCTCTTCTTCCTCTCCATGTGCCACACGCCATCCGATCGCGGCTACCTAAATGTCGTGTACTTCCGTGTGTGTGTTGCTGCAGCCGGACGAGTTATCATAGGTTGGACCAATATGCTGTTTCTCATTATATTTTTCAAAACTATTGTCTCATTATGCTGTTTATACGAATTTTTGTTTCACTATGCTTTTATGTGTACACCCTACCCTACTTTATAAACGACACCCGTTACTTTGGCTTTCTCGTAATCTCACTTTTTCACTGTACACACCTCTTTCAGTACACCCCTTTTCCAGTATTATGTGTTTTTGACTACTTTTCAATGTATCTAGCTGGTAGGCGAATGGTATCAGAAGACACTGTTTTAATGATTTATGTATCAGCTTATATGTTGCCGTATGGAAACTGTTGTTTGTATCGCATTTACTGCTGTAGATTTTGCACCCTTGGGATTGATTGATGTGTTTATCTTCGTGTTTTCTTCTTCTCTAATTTGGGTTTCAAGCAATACAAGTCCGTTATTGATTCTTCTGCGAAATTCACAGAGACTGAATTTTTCCTATTTCGCAAAAGAATTCTGATTAATTTGATCATTCAATATAAGTATATCATTGACTCCGTTTATGGTGACCTATGAGGTAAATAATTTTGTAGATTTCTGACTATTAATTTTAAATGTATTTTGTATACACTCGTGTTACTAATCAAAACATTGAGAAATTACACAAAATTTGTATTAATATTGAATTTCAATCATAAATCGTTGGTAGAATTCCGTTTCGTTAATTTATTTGGCGAAATTATCGTGTTAGTGGAGTTACTAAATTTGTTTTTATCAAGAAACTCATTCATTCACAATTTTGACCTACCGAAGGGCCAACGTGAAATATTTCCATCCTGGATGACTGCTTGCTTTCGTCTTGACAACATGGGCCCAGTAAAGATTTCTGTCGACTTACTTATCATTATTTATTACACTGATAGGCAAAATAAAGTGCCTACCTCATCATTTTTTGCTTTTTTCTCATTTATTTGGTTCAAATTAAAGTAAACACACTACAATCTTTTTCGATATCTTATTTTTATATTATTTTAAAGTTTCACTTATGCAATACTAAAAGAAAAGTTTTACTTAAAGAAACAAAAATCAATTTGTATTAAACTTGCCCACTTAATTTTGGCTCCAGAAAAGATAAATCGAAGTAAAAGAAAAGGTTTTTAAGAATTAAAATGTCCTCCTTTGGACCTGATGCAGGCACTTTGGCATGCTCTCCTGTGGATCTAGCTCTTCCCAGACGCGATCCAGGGCTTCAAAATAGTTATTTTTATAGGTAACACCAGTTTTGTCAACCCTGGCATCGAGAATCGCCCACAAATTCTCAATGGGGTTGTTGTCCGGACTTTTTGGAGGTCAATCCAGCGGTTTTATCAGACAATACCGGAAGAAAGACTTGGTCTTCTTGGCAGTATGCTTCGGGTCGTTGTCCTGCTGAAATACGAACTTCTCTTCAAGGATGTCGATGTAGGATTCTGCCTTCATTATCCCGTCGATTTTCACGAGGCTTCCCACTCCACCCCACGAAAAACACCCCCAGACTATCACATTTCCTCCTCCATGCTTCATCGTGCGTTGGATGTGGCGCTCCTGAAGCTCCTCACTCGAGCTGCACCACAAACAAACCCACCGCTTTCGATTAAATAGCTCGAATTTTGATTCGTTTGTCCAGAGAACGGTTTTCCAGAGCTCAAGGGGCCTATCAGCATGCTCCTAGCAAACGTTTGGCTTTGTTTGCCTAGCTGATAAATGGGCGCTTCCGGGCAACTTTGATATTCAACCCCTGTGCTACGAGACGGCGACGAACAGTTTGACCGGAAACTAATAGCTGAAGGGTTTCCTGGCTCTTGCGGAGTTACCTTCGGGTTCTTCTTGGCTTCGCTCATGTTGGTGTCCGTTCTCACATCAGTTTTGCGCTTCCTGCTTCTACCAGGGCGATCCGCCACTGATCCGAACCTTTTTAGTTTCAGAAGAATTTTTCCCAACCGCTGCCTTGCTGATACTGCACATCCTAGCGTCAGCCCGGTGCGATTCTTCGTTTTGCACATCACGAACCACCAATTTTCGGATACACAAAGGAATTGCTTTTGAAATCACTGCGTTCTCATTTTTGTTTCAACTGAATCAAATTCGATCACTGAACAAATGCACCAGGTCGAGCCGTTTGCTTCAAAACATGTCAAAACATCAAAACATAAACAATCGAGGGGTTTTCCGATGGAAACTTATCGACAGCATATCGATTTTTAAAGTGGGCACTTTTTTGGTCACTGTTTTTTTTCAAAATAAATTGATTTTTTTTCTTTAATTAAATCTTTTTTTCTCAGTATTCCATAAGTGAATCTTTAAAAGAATATAGAAAATAAGATATCAAAAAAGACTAGAGTGTGTTTACTTTAATTTGAACCAAATATATGAGAGAAATTCAAAAAAAAAAGATGAAGTGGGCAATTTATGTTGCCTATCAATGTACGTTGTAAAACTACTACTATTATATAAATTAGACTTTCATTAATTCACTATTCACTTTCACTATTCACTTTCAATACTTGCTTTCACTATCACTTTAAAAACAAAAATACAACATATACGTATCTCGTTTACTATTTACAAACTTCTTCACTGTCTAGTCGTAGTCTAAGTCTATGACTATAGACACTGAAGAAGTTTACAAGTAGTAAACGAAATACGTATGGGTTACTCCGCGCCAAGCAACCTAGAAAAAATACAAAAGTGAAATTGACCTCTTCCGATTTGGACCAAATTTAGAAGAGATGTTTATTTTTGGTTTTATGAAACCTAATTTTGTGCCGATCGAAGCACCCCTTGGTCCAGGGGAGCATTTTTTGTTTTTCGTTATTTTCAAGAAAGTACTATTTTCTTTTATCAATATATTCGGAACAAATAAACCTACAATTCACATTATGGTATTAGCATAGAGGTAACTCTAAGACCACTGGGTCCCGAAGAAAATCATTATTATTTTTGGCTCACTCAGTACCAGAACAACGGTCCCAAGCAGTCCCAAGCTATTTCACTCACCCCTGCATGTTCTGCATGAATCCACACACCCCTGATGTTATCTGTCAAACTTTCATAGCGAATCAAAACAAACATAGTGTAGTAATAGAATTTCAACTAGAATAGGGTACGTTAATCGTTTGCTTGGGACCAATAGGCTACTAAAGTGGTGAGCCAATTTAAAATCGTTAGTTTCGTATTGATTGTTGGTATTAGTCTCTAGTGGCCAGTATATATTCAAACATGGTTGAATTTCAGTGCTAACATTTGAAAACGGCGCAAAAGCCATTTGTAAACAAATGGTTTGTGGGCCCTTTACTCGCTACCCGAAGAACGCCCACGCAAACCAACAGCATCGTCAGGAAGGGGAAAATTTCCCCTACCCGATGTTGCTGTTGTGTCGCGTGGGTGTACTTCAAGTAGTGAGTAAAGGGCCCACAAACCATTTGTTTACAAATGGCTTTTGTGCCGTTTTCAAATGTTAGCACTGATTTAACAACATTATTTTCATAAGGTAAATTTATGAAATTCATTTCGATTTCTTTTGGCCACGCAATTTTATGAATCTTATAAGCTCAAGGGATCATCTACCGCAATCGCAAATCACCCAACTTTGGAAGAACGTGTTCCTGTTGCCGTTCACCCACTGGTGTTTCTTGGCTTTATATTAACTAATTGAGCTGATTGTTTTCACACGATTAGAGTGAATCTAATAATGATAACTTATATTCAACAAAACAGCTACCACGGCTGATACGCACTGAAAAAAGATTTCATTTAGTTTCTATAAGAAACGCACATAATATTTGTCCAATAACAAAAATAATGATTGTTATCTGAATATCACATAGCGTAAGAAATTCTATATGAGAAATCATATAGATTTCATTGGACACATACGATTCATGTGATTTAGTGGTGCAATGTTTCGTAGCATTCCCGTTTTTAATTCAAACATTTGACAAGTCACAGTGCTACTTTAGTACTTGAACTAGCATTTCGGCACAAACAAATCCCATAATTAAAAGTGGAATAGCTATGAAAAATCAAATCTATCGAGCACTGGTACAGAGCGTAAAACCGAAGATAACAAATCAAGAAGACTGGCAACTCTTCCATTTTCTCATACGAACGCTATGAGACAGGTACAATCACGTAATCTGCCGCTCAAAGGTAAATGGTTCGAACGAATTTGATAGCAAAGATTACATCCTCAGAAGAAGGGTTTGTGTATTTGCTCATTTTTCTATGCGTTGCTTCCACCTTCACTTAAGCGCAGCGCCATTGTATCTGTCGCTTGGATTCTGGCAAAGTTGCCATTCTTCTTGATTTGTTGTCTTCGGTTAAAGTCAATGCTCTTGGTGGTGTGGAAAAAAGGCAGTACGCAGTGTAGTGTTGCGTTTAGACATGCCTGCCGAAATGTCTATCCCTGGGCCAGTTACTCCTGCTCCCACTTGATTGTGCAATCTTGAACCATCTGTATAGAAAACAATCGATCCTGGACGATGAATCGGACCACCAAATTGCCATGAATTACGCCCAGGGTCAAATACTTGAAAAAAGTCGATTGAAATTGTATCTTTTCTCCATCCAGTCTTCGTTGTTCCTTACTAGAGAGTTGATACTAACAGTTTTGAGAATCCTAAGATGTCCTCTAAGGTCTCCTTCAAAGAGTTTCACTGACCTTGTAATCCTTAGAGCACACCTTTCGGCTTCTAATTGTACAAATTGATGCAATGCTAGCATATAAAGCAAAGCATCCAATGCCTTCGATGGTGTACTTCTCATTGCACCTGTTATTGAGAGAGTTGCTAACCTTTGGAGTTTTTCTAACTTTCTCTGAGCAACACTCTCTTTTGTTTTTGGCCACCAGACCAATCCACCATAAAGTAAACCTGGGTTTCACAATTTTCGAGTAAATCCAATGAATCATTTTCGGTTTCAGTCCCCGTTTATCCAATATTCTTTTGCATATCCATAGAGCATTAGTAGCTTTGTTTATTGGCTGTTCTAGATGCATGTTCCAATTAAGTTTACTATCAAAGATTACTGCAGATTACATTGACAGCATTGGAAAGTTCCAAAAGTGTGTCTTTCAATCTTATGTTGTCTAATGAAAATTTCTTCCTTCGCGTAAATGGCACAATAGTAGTTATAGCAGGATTTATGTTCAATCCTTCCCTATCACACCATGATGAAACAAAATTTAAGGCAATTTGCATTGTGTTAGCGATAATACAATCATATTTGCCACGTACAATTATGACTATATCATCTGCGAAGCCAACTATTTCGAAGGCTTGGGCTATTAAATTTTTGAGAAGATCATCAACAATTCAAGACCACAATAGAGTTGATAACACGCCTCCTTGCGGGCATCCTTTGGTTGCTCTTACACTGATGAGCGAGCTTCCAAGGTTTGCTGATATTTCTCTTTTTGATAACATCTCATTGATCCAATTTACAATACTGTATCATAGCTGGAGTCATTGGATCGTGAGATGAATTATCGAATGCACCTTCAATGTCAAGGAATGCAGCAAGTGAAATTTCGTTGGCTTCAAAAGATCTTTATAGTTTTGTAACAACCGTATGTAGTGCTGTTACTGATGACTTACCTTACTGGTATACAAACTGATTTTTGCTCAGAGGATTTCTAACTAGATATGATGACTTTATGTGTTCATCTATTTTTTTCCATGTCGAAGTTTTATCCTTTTTATTAGCTTTGGGGATAACTATAACACTTGTCGCCATACACCCGGTATATTGCTTAATATTAAGCTTGCTTGAAATAGCTTTGTTAGAATAGGCGTTAAAACCGCTTTTCCCTTCTGTAGTAGTGCAGGAAAAATTCCACCCTACCTGGTGACTTGAAAGGTTCAAAAGAGCCAATCGCCCAGTCAACTTTTCTTTCAGTAAAGATTTTGTTGACCAAAGTGCAAGCATCGGTTCTTGTTCTGTCTAACTCAGTCGTTTCATTCAATATTTCATGAATATTCGTCCTGGTTTCATCGATAACAATTGCGGTTGTCGTTGCGATTTGGTTTGAATTGAATTGATAATAGAACATGGAAAATGCGTTCTCATCATCAACTCTAATGTTTCATTTGTAGAAGCAGTAAAAGCACCATCCTCTTTTTTCAAAGTGCCAAGCCCATTGAAATGATCTATAGCGAATATTTTCTGCAACCTAGCAGTTGCTGGAGTATTTTCAAAGTTCTCACATGTATGTCTCCAGTGTATCCTCTTTGATCTCCGTATCTGCTGATTATAAGCGGTGAGGGATTCCTTATATTTTTCCCACTGTTGTGTTCGTTTAGTCCTGTTGAAAAGCTCTGTAGCCTGTTCCACCACCCTGTTTGTAGAGCTTTCCTTTTCGATGCAACTCTCATAAAAGTCACGTTTGATCAATCTTGAAAGTTGTTTAGAACTATTCTCAAATTCTTCACAAGTGTTTGAGCTAATTACTATCGTGTCTCTTCCTGCCACTAGCTCTGAATTATATAACTCCCAGTCTGTTTTCCTAGGATCGCTAAAAGTTTGTGTGAGCTGTTGACCAGACTCTTGTTCAAATAATATTTGCTTGTGATCAGACAAAGATATTTCGTCTGATCATGCCAATTTTTTTATTTTGTCCGAGATTATTGGACTACACAAAGTCAAAACAAGAACTTCTTGTCTAATTGCATTTATAAAGGTTGGAGCATCTGCTCTGTTCCATATGTGTTGGAAAAATATCAAAAAATCAAATCTCACCAAAGCCCAAGATCACGCTTGATTTTCGTAGACAAAAATCAACAAGCACACAACTGCGGTTGATATTGCAAGCTGTGATGTTGCAGCTCGGAATATCAAGCTAACAAAACTCACCAGCTGCAAATCTCTCCAAACTGTGGTGAGATTGAGTTTCATGATTTTTGCTTTACACCCGAATGCAACAGAAACTTCCATAACGGCTGGTAGCAGTCGTTTTTTGTCTGCCATTAGTGAAGAGATAAAAGAGATAGCATTATCACAGACAAACAGACATAACACATTGAATATTACTCACTGTAAAACATCGTCGCAAAAACATTACCGCCATCTGTTGAGTACACTGTGGTGGGTAAAACGCTGAACAGATGGTGGTAGTGTGTAAACGTCAAATGCATTGACTATGCGCGCCACAGGTGGCGGTACTACCAACTACGATACTTTTAAATTGACCGTTAAATGCTTGTTCGATGAACAACTTGCGAGTGTTATGTCTGTTTGTCTGTGGCATTATTATACCTTCTCTTTCTAAGAAAACGAGGTACAAACGGAATCATTTTTCCGTCAATTCAACTCTCAGCTTCAACTTTACACGTTGTGAATAGTCTCGCAGTATCAAAGGAGCTTATAAATATCAAGCATTATATTTTGCTCCAATATCATGCGTGATATTGAGAGCGTATGAGAGTGGAAAAATATCATGCCATCACTGTCTATATCATTGTTAGAAATATAATCTAAAAGGTAATCACCTCTGGTATTAATGTCCGTGCTAGCCCATATCGTGTGATCAGCATTTGCATCACAGCCAATTATAAATGCCTTATTTTGTTTCTTGCAGTATGAAACACACGCCGCTAATTCTGATCGAGGTACATCTCCAAAGTCTCCGGGAAAGTATAGGGCTGTCCCTTGTAGTTTTTGGGATGGAAAGATTTCGATATTGATGAAAAGTGTCAGACTGTGAACGATTGAATCTTGAGTCGTTTAGATACCACTGCAACTCCACTAAAATGTTGTTTGACAACTAGTTCCTTTGTGTGATTTCACGTATTAAAAAAGTGCAACCATTTACGATTTTTCAAGAGCAGTTGAGAATTACAATTGAAGCAAGAAGGAATGCCCTTGTATTCTTATGAGATTTTCAACAAACCAACATGCGTTCTAGTGTGTAAATTCTTATGGGATCTGCGGTTATCTGGCAACTGATCTCCTATTCGATAATCGTTAGGAAGAGTGAGAATGTATGGAAATAATAAAGTTAAAAAGCATCATTATTTTATTTCAAATGAATACCCCTCAGTATTGAGATGCAGCCATAGTACTTAAATAAAAAAAAAAAACAAAAATTACAGAGTTAAGTCAAATTAAGTGCATGTTATTACACAATTAACATGACATTAGGTATAATAGCTATTAGAACAAAAAAAAATGCATTGATCATAAGCAAATCGAGCACCCAGTTCATATTTAATATCATACTGTTGTTTTAACAAATCACAAGCTAAATTTGAAACCCAACGTTTAATAGAATACTGAGTTTATTACACGCCGTTCACGTGTATGATTCATGTAGATTGTCTTACGTTTTTATCAAGTACATCGTACTCTTTGCAGATTTTCATTAAAGTGACTCTAACGATGTTTCACAATTTCAGTACTGTGTATAAATGTTTTACTGTAGTGACTAATTCTTATTATTCTTTTGTTGCGTAGTAACTAATACATAATTTGAACCATTTTTTAACAATCCAACTAGAAAAACACTCAAGAATGGTTTGATTGTTCATACAAATCTGGGCAAAACATAAGACATTTAACTGACGTTACAGTAGATTCTAAGTATTTTATGCATGGTAATACTACTAGCATGTGCATTGGTTTCGTTCAAGTAGAGTCGTCCATTAAAGGTTTAATGTTTGTATAACGTATTTAATACTTTAAAGCTGAATTGATTAAAATTTTAACATTGTTTACTCCACTGCTTTGGTTACTTAAACTGTTCAAAATTCAGGCGTCGATTGGAAATCGTTGACTATCCCAGCATGCTTACCTATAACGACGGACTATTTTCCGGACAAACGATCGCTACATAACGATTACGTTGTTTCGGACTATACTCTACTGCCTGACGATGTGAACGCCGAATTCGCCCAAAATCGTGCAATTTACAAGAAGCCACTGTCTACGGATGAAGTGTTTAGGGAGTTGGTTTCCCAGCGACTGGCTCAGGTATGATCAGGCGGATTTCGTTTGCTCCATGGCTTTACGTGGCCTATCTTTCAGGGTTTCCAACTGATTGTTTTACCCGACAAATCAACAACGAATCCACAGCAAGCTCCATGCTGCGGAGGTCAACTACAGACCTCTTTTCAATCCAGTGTCCTCAGAATGCGTCCCCCGCAGGAACCATCTCAAGAATATCTGTTGTCTATTGGACGAATATTTCATCGCATATCGCTGAGTGGTTCCATCATAACGGTTACCAGATATCGACCGAGGTGCGTTGCTCTAAATGTGATATATATATGTACTATTAACTGAGTTTCTTCGGTTCACAGACATCCCTATCCACCGATTAATGTCGACTACCGATATCGATTCCATGCACCGCAGCACGACACCTACGAGGTATCCGGAGTCAATTTTACCACCGAAAAGCTGGAAAACTTCAACTGGAACTACATGGACCAATATATTTGCACCCGTGGCGACACTGATTTCCAACTACTGGAGGTATGTATTCTGATATGCGAAACTTATTTTGAATTGAAAGTGCTAAATACGTTTATGTTTCCAGAGTATGAAATACTGGCGCTATCGAGTTTACCTTCTCCCTCGGGAAGACCCAGCCATGAAGAAAATCTTGGAAGGTACCGCTAAGCGCTGTGATATCTACACCGACAATAAACCATTCCTGTCGGAAAAGCACATCTGCAATGAGTTTGTTCGGTTTGTGGAATTACATTTAAACAAAATCAAAAAGGTTACCGCCAAAAAACCGAGGGTAAGAAACTCGTACTCCTATTTCACAGAAATTGGCAACTTTGAAACAAAACGTACCACTATAGATAGACAACTTGGAGCACTCCAAATTACTGTTTGTAACACTAATGATTCTCGGTAACAGAACATATTACAGCAACTTTCAGTGACCTACACCAATCGGTTCGTAGATGATGTGATAATTTGAATGTGCGATTTAGATACTTCCCCCAACTCAACTTCTTCTTTAAACCGTTCTAATCGAAACTGCATTTCCCGTTTCATAGTTCACCAAATAGTTTATTAGATTCTAGAAACATTCGAGCAAAATGCACACAATATTTCTTTCAGGGAAGTCCACATCAAACCCACCTGACCAGAAGACGACACAGCACCAGCATAATCTCCCGGCCACCACCTAATCAGGTGTGCAAATCAAGAATCACTATCGTCCTTGCTTTTCACATTTTTTCTTTTATATCCCTCCCTTATTTTTGCTCCCTCTTCCTTACTTTTCTGATACAATTACCTTTCTTATTTATTTCGCTCCTGGTAGTAGCTTTGACCGTTTTTTTTTGTTTGTTAATTTTTGGTGAAGGTTTTCGTTTTATTGAGTGATATCCCGATTTAATTCTCCACCCAGTTTACCATTGAATGGTATCTGTTTAATGCTTTTTGGATGGGAAAGGGTTCCTGATTTTCGTTTCATTCAAGTCACCGCCATTTTTATTTTCACCGTGCACCTTCATTTATCATCGGAAATAAAAGATTGCATTTTTAATTGACATTGTTGTGATATTTTTTATCCAGGTCTCGCAAAACCAGCCGTATCGGGAACGAGTCGGAAGTAATCGGCTACCGGAGAAACCTCGCTTAAGGTTTATAATTATTCCTTCGATCAATTTGCGGTAGTGGCCTGAAACGCTTTTTGCACTTGTCGGTTTGCTGTTGTTTTGCTTCTGTTTTCAGCAATTGTAGTTTTAGTTGTATAATTTTACTGTAAACTAGATAACGTTTGTTTTTTAAATCCCTTTGCACTGCTTCTAGATCACTGTAACCATCACAAATTCTGCTATATGCTATGTACTAATAACCAATCATATGTTTTCTTCGTATCTAAGTTCACCACCAGCTGTGAATCATAATTTAAATCAAATTTCAATAGGTATTCTCTCCATAATCTTTCGAATTTTATCGTCTGAAACGCGATCTTTGCATTTTAGCAAAATTATTTACAAAATCCCCTTCCTGCAATTGGAAAAAATCCATGTCATAATACTCAATACAGTGTAGTGTTTTCGAGAAAAAATAATGGGATCTGGAAAGTAATGTCAACGGCGCCGGTGGTGTAGTGGTAAGCGTGATTACCTCTCACCCCAGCAGGCCTGGGTTCAATCCCAGTCGGCGCCGCCGAGATGTTCTGAGGCATAACATCTGCCTTCCTTCGGATGGGAAGTAAAGCCGTTGGTCCCCGGTTCATGAGTTGATGGGTCGATAGGTAGGGTCCAGGTGTGGGAGCTGCCTTCCTGGCACGTCGGTAGCATTGGTGCTCAGCACGGAAAACAAGATCGACGGACAAAACAAACCAAAGGAAAAAAAAAAAGAAAGTAATGTCATGAACAATCAATGCCCGTGCCCGTATGTGGCCTGAAGACCGTAGTTCAAGAAGCGCTCAAGACCTAAGAACCCGTGTTGTAACACTGTTTCAAATGGCATAATAGATGTTCGAACATAATGTAGAACTGTTCATGAGGAATATTAGAACAGTATAACGACAAAGGAATAAAATAAAATCAAATAATTGATTTGCCATGAAATATATAGGAAGCCAAACTAAATTTGTTACAAGGATAGACAATTACATATACTTAGGCCGTTTGCAATGCTGTTGTATTTTATATGGACTGTTTCAATTTGAAACTAGAACAGAAACGCACCCGTCGTAATGCATAGTTTTAGGAGCATCTCAGATTAATAAAATCATCAGGAAAAGTGAAAAAGTGTTCCGCTTCCTATGTCCCACGGCAAACATTTCTGCTCAAAACACTCTTTTTGACGTTCTCCTATTCACCACCAGAGGCTGAATCGATCGCTTAGTGTGTATTAAAAAGACGTATTGTCAGAGACCGTCTATAGGCGAATCCAGTAGAAACTAAGCGATTGTTTCAACCTCTGGCGGTGAATAGGGGAACCATCAAAAGAGTGATGAGGGTGGAAATTTTAACCGTGATGCATACACTGAACCAATTTGACATATTCCTGTTATGTGGAAGTCTAATAAATTTGCGCTATAAGATAATCCATTGAAAATGATATGATTGAAAATGTGTCAGGTAAATTCTATATGAATATCCGATACATTTACAATGCTCATAATTTGGTAACATTTATATGATCGTCATATGATAAATGAAAATCGGTCAAATTATAATAATTAACTGAAATGGATTTGAAACCCATAAGCATAAGCTTTACTTTTCACCACAATATAATATATGTGTCATAAATCAATCGAAGTAAAGTTTATGTGAAAATCACATGAAACTTACTGCTTCTTTTGACACATATATTTAATCGATTTCTAAAAATAAATCGAAAAATAAACATCAGGCAGTGGGAGCTTTAACAGTTGTGTCTTTTTTTTTTATTGTAGCTGATTTGGGATTCGATCCAGAACTGTTGAGGTGTGATACTTTCGGTGTCTGTGCTCGATTCCATTGGGCCACGGCTGACTTTAAGATTGAGCTCGTTCAATTAGCATGAAGTAAGAACAGCTCTCCCGACATGGAATGTAGTGCAACGTTATGCTCGTTTTGCTAGAGTGAAGGAAAATAACACTGACAAATTTAAGCTCCGTTTCGGTGGCGTCGTGTATTCAAATCTTTCTTAATGCTCCTGTGTGCAATAAAACAACGACTACATTATATGAGTTCATGGAACTCGTTCATGACACTCGAGTGTGAAGATTTACAATTAGAATCTTAGCTAATTAAATATTGCAGTAGAATAATTTTTTTTCAATCTCAATACATTCTTTTCCGGAACCCCTTATCTTATGAAACAATAACAAACAAAGATTATTCAATACAGTCTCATTGTTGTTAGTAATATTTAGTTCAACTAATCATTTTAATGAGTGTACGATAACATCGTTGAAAATTGTTTCAATAATTTATAAAGAACAATCATGTAAGATGTATTTTAATCGGAGCGATATTCATCCCAGAAAACCATGCCAAAACAAATGTTTGCTGTTGGATTTATTAAAAGGCAAATCTACATGACTATCTAATGATTGGGATAGATCTGTTTACAATCTTTATACCTCAAAAATCAAAGGAAGCTATTCCAATGAGATATATATGTTTTCCTGTACTGCAAAGTTAAATGACAATCTAATAGTTTCTACATGTCTGTTTACACGCGACATATCAACAAACGTCATAAATCGTTAAAAGCAACTCCAATAAAATATACATGCCTATCTTATAAGATATATCTTTTAGTGAGTAATATTCTTCATGAAAACAGGTATATTTTACTGAGTTTTCTCATAGTGCAAATTTATATGATTTTCCATTGGTTTCTAGATATCTGTTCCCACCCATGACATATCAACAGTTTTTCACCATGAAATATATCAGACAATATTCATATACATCTTACCTATCGCTAACCACGTTCGAAGCAAAGTATTATCAAATACTAAGTATGTGAAATTATGATAGAAATCATTCCATATCGCAGTCATAGTTTTTAAGTGATAATCCAATGGAATCTATCAATCATCACATAGAATGAATAAATCTGCTGACATTGCTATGTTATCAGATGGATCCAATAAACGGTACATGTCGATTTGTTTCAGTGTAGAAAGAGGAAAATATTGTCACCTTTCCTGATTAATTTATCCACCGCATGTGCTTGAAATCATCATCCACGTGGAATATTTTTGTTTTCTGTATCGGGTTTGCAGTGATCCGGCTGGTGCTTCCATATATTTTTGATTAGAAAAAAATCAGATTTATAAAATTGTCCCAGCGGTTATGATCTTCCGGATTTTTAATTTGTGGTTATTTCAGCTGTAAATCAGTTCAGATCTGTAGATAATCGAAATATAAGACCACTCCCGATGGAAATTTGCAAGTTGTGCAATAAAATGCACATTATTTTCAGATTTAAAAATCGTCATTATGATGTAAACAAATGGATTGTATGACATTTCCTCTTGAAATCGACTAGCGCTATAGTGGATGATGAATAGACTTCTGTAGTGTGTTTTGTGTGAGTTGCAGCATTATTTGAATTAAGGGTACTAATGGGTCTGATTAACTGCCTCTTTCTCTTGAGCCCATTCTAGAACCTACATTTCGTATTTAGATCCATAAGTGAACTGCTGGTCTGAGTTCCTTTGGTATATACAATTAGAGGATGTTTCTGAATATACAGTCAAACAGTATGTAATGTTGTGAACAACTTCAATGGCAGTTGTCCAGCAGTGCTCCTATTTTATTTACAATAATCCAATGCCTACGAGATTGTGCCGAATGTGTGCCGATGGTATGCCGATGGATGGGCCCAAGCTGTGCCGAATCTAATTTCGACACAATGTGCTGAGTGACTTAACCCTTTATGGCGAGAGACTTTTATTATGAATATCTCAAATTTTGAGAGCCTACTCAAAAAATTATTCGTCAAAAACGTCTTATGCATGATACTCTTTCGACTAATGTTTCTGTTTCTTCGCCGTTTTCGGTTACCCAGGAATCGAGAGACAACTGATGAATCATCCCGGTAATTCCTGGGAATCGGAAAATCCTTTTATTCAGTGAATGAATAGGACAATTTTATATTTTTTAACTTCCTGAAGTTTATCCAATCTTCCCTTTCCTCTTTTGTTCCGATTCCGATTCCTACGGGAAAATTATTTCAACTTCCCTTGGAAGTTTCTTCTGGTTTTGCTCGAAAGGTTCTTCCGTCTTCTCGCGCCAGTTTTTTAAACTTCCCTGAAGCTTCAGGGATGCTTAAAGTGTTTTATTTCGGTTCTATTTTTGCTTCAGGAAAACTTCAGGAAGTTTTAAGATGTTCTGAATCTTCAGAATAGTCCAAAATTTCGGGTAAGTTTATAGATCTGTCAGGGTAATTTCCGATGAATTAAAAACACTTTCAATTCGAGGGTTTCAGGAAAGTCCAGAGTACTCCAATGAACCTAAAGAAAAATCAGAAATATTTTGGAAAGATCACAAGTTCAAAGCACTTCAATGAAATTTAATGGTTTTTAGGACTGTTCAATTTTTTTTCCGGAGGAATTCTGAGAACTAAGAGAAGCTCTGAAAACATCAGAACAGATCAATTAATTTAAAGAAAATTGCTGAAACTTTCGCTGAAGTTCCGAGAAACTCAGGGAATTTTCGAAAACTTGATAC